TTGTCATTTTAAGTTTGTGCTGGGTAATGAGATGGATGGATGGAAAGAAGAATGGATGGATGGATGGATGGATGGATGGATGGATGGATGGATGGATGGATGGAAGGCAGGATGGATGGATGGATGGATGGATGGATGGATGGAAGACAGGATGGATGGATGGATGGATGGATGGATGGATGGATGGATGGATGGATGGAGGGATGGATGGAGGGATGGATAGATGGAAGGAAGGATGGATGGATGGAAGGAAGGATGGAGGGATGGGTGGATGGATAGGTGGATGGATGGATATATGGTCATCCCATGACTGTGCTCAGAATCTCAAGTTGTCACTGAAAGGTTTTGGTGTCTTTGCACTACCAGGTACTTGCTTCAGATGACAGAGCTCATTGGTGTTAGAAGAGGAAGCTTGTGCCCCACTTTCTTTGGATTTTGTTGGTGTGGATGGATGTGGATAACTTCATTTATTCGTTGCACACATAATTGATACTTTTTCTGCGCCACGCCCTTGCTGGGCCACTGGCAGCCCCTCACCCACCATCACTGGGTGATTTCGAGCCACTCCCATAGGCTGTCAATAAGAAGCTCAGTCTCAGCTCGCCCAATGTCGCCAACCCCCACACAAGGTCCGCCCTGTATCTCATCTTACATCTGGAGCCGAAGCCTGGGAAGAGGGGTGTTTTCCACAGTGCCTTGAATCTGTGGACTCTTTGCAGCCCACGAGGTCACAGCCTAAGAACTCTCCCTCTGCATTTGAAAGAAGGTTTCTCCCAGAACCTGGCTCCATTAGTGACTCTCTGCCGGGCTTAAACTAGGTCTGCAAGTTCTTTTCTGTCTGCCCATGTTGTCCTGCTCTCTAGTTTGCATTGGACTTGGTGACTCACCTCTAAGAAAAAGAATCAGTCAGAAGTCAGGGCTGCAACTGTGGTGAGCAGGTCCTGAAGTGCTTAGTGGTTCCTTGTCCTGTCTAGGGGAAGCCCCTTGCCAGGTAAGAGCACACTTGAGCAGCCTTTCAAGAGCCCAGCAAAGCAAAGAACTGAGGCCTCTTTCCTGCACCCCAGAGAGTGCTCCATCTTAGATGTGTGACCTCCCCTCAGCTCAAGCCCTCACATTCCTGCAGCTTCCCACCCCTCATTAGCCACAGGCTCATGAGGGCTCCTGACCCAGACCACCTGGCTAAGCCTCAACCCAAATCCTGGCCCACAGAATTGTGAAGCAACAATCCTCTAAGCCACTTAATCTGGGGGGATTTGTTACCCGGCAGTAGATAACTGATACACTGTCCTTGAACCCTTTTGTCCACATTACCCTTCTGCTGACAATCAGCAACAGACACTGCAGGAGGTTACTTCCAGAATCCGGAATCCGGGACAGCAGCCTGGCTGAGGGAAGCTGTTAAGTCTATACTCAGTGAAGTGTATAGAGCATTGAAAGCCGTACCCAGCTGCAGGCCCTGTGGTCTCACTCAGTAGGTCTGGCATGGGGTCCGAGCATCTGCACCTAACTAAATGATTTTTTAAAAAGGAAGAGAGCTATTGAAGGATTTCTGAAGGTTACTTTTGGTTGAGAACGTCTGCTGCAGGAAGCCACAGGGCTCTCTATCCTATGTCCCATCTTGGAGGAGCAGATGGAGAGGGGCTCTGGTCACTGTCCAGCAGGTCTCACAGCCCTGGGAACTCCAGGCAAATGGCCAGGCTCGGTGCTTCCCCTTAGGAGCCTGCAGATGGGTTTCCCCAGCTGTGGACATCAGTGTTCCCTGCAAGGGGACCATGGGCCACACCGCACGGCTCCTAATGAAGCAGCTCCAGGGCGGAACTGGTGATTGTGTTCCCAGGAAGTCCATGGCACTGCTAGGTGCCCACATGGAAACCAGCAGGAGAAAGGACGGGGTCAGCCTCGGAAACAGGCCAGGACCCTCCTTCCACTCAGACAGCTGCACAGATGAAAGGAAAGGAGGACTCATCCTCTTCGCCAAAGCCGAGGTGGCCCGTGGTGGTGGCAGTTGCAGGAGCAATCATCTTGTAGGAAGTTGCCAGAACACAAGCATGGGGCTTCTGGGAGGCTCGTGAGTCCCCCTCTTTTATCCAAGGGCGGCCACATGAGAATATTTGTTTTGCAAAAACACGTCAAGCTGCACACCTACAAGTTGGGCACCTTTCCGTTAGTGTGTTACACTTTATACAGTTCACTTGGAAGTTAATGGTGGTGACAAATGCTGTCAAAGTCTGGAGGAACCGGGCGTCCCTGTCACGAGACCGTTTTGCAAATCTGCTTTCTCCTAGAGTCACACCGGCAACCCAACAGACAAAAGTCGTTCTCCCTTTTTGCAGGAATCAATAGTGTGTGTGTGTGTGTGTGTGTGCCCACGAGAGAGAGAGAGAGAGAGAGAGAGAGAGAGAGAGACTTGGGGAGCAGCTGCTTCTCCAGCTGTCATTTCTTGAAAAACAAGTCCAGGTCTTCAAAAGAAAATACCGTAAGTAAAGTATATGCATGTTTTAAATTTCTAAAATAGCAGATACTGATAAAATAATTTGAAAAGCAAACTGAGCTCTCTTTAGGAATCCTAATTTGTCTTCTAAGTAGAACTTTACTGAAGAATAAGCATTTGGGAACAGAAGGAAAAAACCACGCTAGGTTTACTGCCCATTTCTTTGAAAAATACCTAGAGGCAAAAGATAAGTGTTTCTTCTGGACTAAGACAAATGTCACCTCCAGACCCCTTGTTTCATCATGTTAAACCCTCAGAGTCTGACTGGGGAGACCTATTTTGCAAATTTCTCAAAGAACACTAATTATTGCTAAAACTCCTCCAGAGACGCCACTTTCCAAATCACTCCTTTCCTACAATTTAAGTTTATGACTTAAAAGGTTTACTCGCAAAGGCTGGTTTCAGATGTTAATGAGGCCAGGTGCACTGGGACATCGCACTTTCAGACGATCTGCACAGTTGTTATTTTGCAGCTCAGAGGCTAAGGAGGCACGATCGGCCATGATTGTTGATGGTGGATACTAGGCTCCCGACTGCTGCAGAAGAACGTGGTCGGTGGTTACCCTGCTCATGGACATCATCCAATCTAAAGCACAGATGCTGTAATACAAAATTTGAATCAACAACCTTTTTTTTTTTCTGAGACAGGGTCTCCCTCTGTAGGTCAGGGTGGCCTTGAACTCTCTCTGTAGTGTAGGCTGATCTGTAACTCACAGTGAACTTCCTGCCTCAGCCTCTGGAGTGCTGGGATGACAGATGTGCACCTCCACCCCTGACTGAATCCATAACCTCCTAAGTCTGCCTCGCAGGGGTTTGAGTCCCAGCAGCAGCACCATGTGGACTTGGGTAAATGACTTCTTTCTCTCTTCTTCCAAACTTTTTTTTTCTGTCAAATGGGATTATTGATGGGAATGTAAACTAGTACAACCACTGTGGAAAAACCAATGTGGAGATTCCTCATAAAACTGGAAATTCCATTCCACCTAGCTAGTCTCCTTCTAGTTGTCTTCCCAAAAGAATTACAGACATCATATTCCAATGATACATGCATGCCCGTGTCTATAGCAGCACAACCCATGATAGTTAAATCTTGAAATTGGCCTACGTGTCCATCAAGAGATGAATGGACAGAGAAAATGTGGTAGTTACACACAATGGAGTACTACTCTGCCATAAAGAAGGCTAAATCTGAGTCCTCTGTAGGAAAATAAATGCATCCTGAGGCCATAATGTTAAGTGAAATAAATCAGACACACAAGCTTCAAAATCACATGGTTTCGGGGCTGGGGATTTAGCTCACCGGCAAAGCACCTGCCTGGCAAGCGCAAGGTCGTGAGTTCGGTTCCTGGTACCGGAGAAAAACCAAAAAATAAAATAAAATAAAATAAAAAATCACATGGTTTCTCTCAGATGAGAAACCCAAAATATAAATAAAGACCAAAACCAGAGCTAGATGATAGGAAGAAAAGAGATAGAGCTTTCTCAAATGAGAAGGGGATCAAGAGATGGGGGGAGGGAGAGGGGATGAAAAAAGGAAGGAAGATGTGTTATGTACATGTGCCAACTCCACAGAAGGAACACAGACATTATATACTGCAAACAGATAGATAGACAGATAAACAGACAGGTATTATAAGAGATGGGAAGCAGGCCAGTGACTGCCCAGGTTGGGGAGGTGCTCAGGGCTGTGTGACTAGGGTAGTTGGGGCAGACTTTGTGGTGATACAGTAGTTCTGCATCTGGATTGCACCATGTTTACCAAGCTCTGCATGCAGTAAAATGGCATAGAACTGTGCCCTACATTGTACCAACGTTTGACACCGTCCTGCAGAGCGTAAAACACAGCTCCCTGTTCCCTGGTGACTACTTCCAAGTCAAGTATCTGCCTAGACTTCTTTCCCCACAAGCTCAGGAAACAGATCTGTCGCTGCTTCCCCATGGTACAATCTGAGTTCTGGCACAGGCTTCGGGGTCTGACCTTGAATATAATATCGCAGCAGTCCCCTCTCTCCCCACTGGGACCCTTCACTACAGGCGAAGGACCCTCACTCCTCCACTACAGGTCGCGTGGGCTGCAGATCAGGCTCCTCAGGAATATGAAATACAGTCTTTTTATTCTAAAATGTTCTCAGTTGATGAGCCCTGGACAGTGGGGTGAAGCAGGTCTCTGGGTTTCTTTCTGGCCTGCAGAGCAATGCCAGGAATGTATTATGAACACCCTCCTCAGACTGCGTGAGTCTCGATGGGATACTGCACTAAGCCGGTCAGCTGTGACCTCCTTCATTCAGGTGCTTTGAATCGGGCTCGCTGGCTGCACAGCGAGGTTCCCAGGCACAGAACAGGGTGACTGATAAGCATCTGTGGCTTCAAGCATGTGTGAGTGGAGGGTGAATGGTGCAACCAGTAAGGTAAATCATACGAGAGTGGCCGGGTCTCAAAGGATGGGTGAAGAAATAGTGAGCGGGCTCTGCCGAGGCACCTTTAACGTCCCCTCTCCTGGTTCCTCCAGGCAGTTCGAAATCCACTCGCCCGACACTAAGCACACGGTGATCCTCAGGAGCAAGGACTCAGCCACCGCCCAGGCCTGGTTCAGCGCCATCCATGCCAACGTGAGCGAGCTGCTGCCCCGGGTGATCAGCGAGGTTCGAGAGCAGCTGGGGAAAGCAGGCCTCGCGGGAGGGCGCGAGATCCGGCACCTCGGCTGGCTCGCTGAAAAGGTAAGGGACACGTCTCCTCTCTTTTCGGTCGTCTTCCAGCCTTAGACCAGAGGCTGGTTTTCTTCTTAACAGCCTCTTTGGGTTACTTCTCTGCTCCAGCCCACAGCCTGCCTTTCTCACTGTGTAGAGACCTTGTCTCAATCAGCAGGACTCCCCAACTTGCAGTCATGTGTGTGGCCAACTGCATGTGGCCACGAACTGTTGCCTGGGTGGATGAGCAAATGGATGCAGAGTTTGCATTTCACAGCTATGTGTGAAGGGCGTGAAAAATAACTCAAACTCATGACAGAGCTGCTGTCCAGGGAGATGGGGAAGTTGATGCTTTTGATTAGAAGGGAGTTGTGTGGTTTTTGATGTGTCTGCTTGTTAATTGCTCGGGTCCTTTAAGGATAATAAGGTTAACTTTTACACATGGTAACTATGATAGGAGCACAAGGATTTCCTGAGCAACTACTCTGTGCTAATTTTCATATGTTACCTGCCTGCAGATTCTTTGTGCTTGGAAGCCAGCCTGGTCTGAATGCTATCATTAACAAGCGCCTGTCTCAGGAGAGTGGGAGGGGAGGGCTGTGTTCAAAGAGAATGAGGCAAAGTTTCTGTCTCAGGGAGGACAGCTGCAGTGGGAAAGGTTTCGTATCACATTAACATCGTCACTGCAATTGATTTTCCCAAGGTAGGTGATGTGCTGGCGATAGGTAGTAAAAACTCTTTGTGATACATCTTGAAAGTCGCCCTTTCTCTTTTTTCAAAGGACCAAGCTTTTGCCATTGTGCATACACTTGAATACTGTCCCTTTAACTTGACCTTATGCACTAGGGAACATGGGCTTTGTGGCCAGTTTGACCTCTCAGTGACTCTCATTCTAATAGGCAGTAAGTGGGAATAATGATTGTAGCACTGACAGCTTTCCTGCCAAGGAATCCTTCATCTGAGAAGGCCCAGTCACATGGCTCTTGGAAGCTGCACTTGAACACAGCATTCAGATGCTTCCACCATTGTTCTTTGTTTATTCCAGCACATGCATGGGCCTGGGCCACAGAGGTCAATTCAGAGTGGGGTGTTCAGTCTAGTATTGTCTCGTCTCTTGTGATGCTGGAGAACTGGAGGGAAATACTGATGGCAGGAGCATGAAAATGATAAGAAATCCAGACTACAGGCAGCCTTTCATGGATTTATACATTAGAGTTCTTGATAAAAGCAGCAGTGCACATCTGGATGGTTGATATATTTTTAAAAGTCAGAGTCTAACACTGTCTACTTTTTACACTTTCCAAATACATACTTTAGTAGGAGAACAACTACTAGTTATGAGTCTTTCAGATGGAAGGGACAGAAAGGTCAACACTTAGTTGGAACAAAAAGAGTATGGACCTCTTCTGATAACTTCTGTGTCCAAGAACAGGCTTCAGGCATGGGAGGATCCAGAAATTTAAATAACAGTGTTCTGTGCACCTCTCCTCTTCCTGTGCCCTGTGCGCCATGTTGGAGTCCTCCCAAGCACGGCGCCCCAAAGCTCCAGGTTTGTTTTCCCTTACACTTGGCTTTCTCCATGAATAGAGGCCTGTTGCCCCAGTCATTCCAGCACAGGCCCTAGGGTGCAGTCTACCGAGGCTCTCTTGGATATGTCCAGCCCTAGTTAGTCCTAAGATCAACCCCACTTAATCTTGTGTAATAACAGATAGCAACACATGTGTAGCAACACCTGTATGGAAAGATAGGGTGCTGGGCAAGGAAAAGAGTGAATGAATCTCAGAGAGGCAAAAGCAACAGACATTCTATGGAAGAACTAGAAGAGTTGATTTTGATGAAAAATGTCCCTACCTGGTTAAGGTTCTGAGTGGACCGTGGTGGTCCGGTGAGAGATGGTGGGGAATTTGAAAGTGATGATTGGAAGGAATGGGATGCAGGGAGCATTCCCAAGGTGTGGACAAAGTAGCGGGAATGATGAGAGAAGGAGAGGACCCCCAGGGCTGACAGTGACCAGTCACTCCGCATAGCGGGACCTGGGAAGAGCCCACAGTCACCTGAAACCAGCAAGCTTTGTAGCTATAAGGAAGTGCCGTCCACTGCCTGTGGGCTCGGATGTCCTGCTGGTGGCTCCTGATGGCGGAAGCTGGCAGGAAGCCAGGTCTGAGGGGACCGCTGGATGCTCTGTGAAGGTGGGTGAGGACCTTAGGCACCAAGGATGAGGTGGATCTGGAGGGGCAGGCAGGGCATATCCTCTGCTCGCCAAGGAACTGAGGGGTCTCTGCTCCGGTCCCTTTCTCTCTTCCCTTCAAACACAAGCTTTGTTTAAAACCATGACCATTTGGGTAGTTGAGACAGGAAATTGCATCATCATTAATAACATTCCTTTTCTACAAAGGTTCCGTTTTTTCACTTCTGAACTGGATCAGGCCTTTTGTTTAGGCCAGATATTAGCAGACACGGTAGTAGGTGCTCGTATAGAACAGTAATAAAGGCATACGAAAACCTCGCTCTGTTTATATGACGGTTGCGGGTGCTTCCTTAATTATTTTATCCAGTATATCCATAACAGTGGTAATGACTTATCCAGGGGCAGCCTGATATTAGCCTGATATTTTTATTAGAAATGAGAATGTCCTATAGGGTTTCCACCTTCAGACTTCTTAAAAGATTACCATGGATCATATCCAAGGGGACAAATCCATACTGGAATTTTAAAAAAATATTTACTACTGAATCCTAGTGTGGAGAAATAGGAATGGCTTTTGACCAAATGTTACAATGAATGGCAAATCCCTGATATTGTGGCTTTCTTATATTATTACAAATATGAGCGACTTTTCTCGGTGTTTGTAAAGATACAAAATGTGATCCATATATATTCAGCTGTAATTTACCTGAAATTGATGTCCTTTGTCTTTTCCTACAGTGTTAAGCTTTGGTTTTATAGATGAATAACCAGGGTTCTGTTACAAGATTGTACAGATTCTATTTAATTCCAAGTTTTTAGAAGTGGAATTTACATGAACTAAAGTAATATGAAATCATAACATGAATTTCCTTTTGAAAATCTTGTGCAGTGCAGATTCTAAAGCCCTTTTGACTACCAGGAGGAAAACGTAAAGTTAACATTATTCTTCCCTGTGACGTAGTCTGGAGAGCTGAAGAAAAGCTCCCGGAAAATGTCAAGGTTTCAAGGGACTGAAGAGGAAGGGTCAGCTGCTCTCCGGGAGAAGAGGGGAAGAAGCCAAGTGGCGGCTGAGTCAGGGCTGCCTAAAAAAGGACGGAGGAGGGGGCTGGGGATTTAGCTCAGCGGCAAAGCGCCTGCCTGGCAAGCACAAGGTCGTGAGTTCGGTTCCCGGTACAGGAGAAAAACCAAAAAAACAAAAAAACAAACAAACAAAAAAAGGACGGAGGATAGGGCAGAGGTGGTCTGCAGGTGGGAGTTCCCCCAGGAGGAAGGTGATTTGCGCATTTGTCACTGTGGGTGACACTCAGTTATGGAAGGTCCTCGAGCTGGACAGGATGGTCTAAATGTGATGTAGTGGACAGCTGGGGGCTTCCTGTACCAAGTTAGAAAGCAGGGAACTTAGAGGTGTCCTCACCCAACCTCTTTTACAGGTGAAGAATCTGGCTCCCAGAGGAGGGAAGAGTTTGAATCACAACAGAAATTACTAGAGAGTAGAATAACACTGTGAAATCAATGCTCCTTTCACTGAATGTTGGAAAGAACCCTGTAGCTCATCCGCTGAGATCTCTCGTGCGCTCTCTATGAGCCTCAGTAGCCTTGCTGTGGACTCTGCAAGGTCAAAGTCAGTGCACCCTGGAGCGGGCCCATGGCCCTTGTTGCACTGACCTTGGTCCCGCGAGGGAGCCACCTTGGTGCCAGTCCGGTGCAGCGCTGCCTCTGAGCACCGTCACCCTAGACAAAGCACCCTCCTCAGTGTAAAGCACTTGGCGGAACCCCTTAGCTCTTCGCAGTCCCCTGTCTGATCCTGAGGGTTCCCATTCCCACCCTGAACTGCGAACTGCTTCGAGCCCCAGAGGCGTTTTCTCAGTCATTGCTTTTTGATCTTTTTGGTTATCTGTGCAGTGAGTACTTTTCAGTGGGCCCATTTCGGGCAACCTGAGAAAAACAAGCTAAGTTCTGACTCCCTGGCTGCACAGAAAAACGGTAACAAATAGGCACCTGGCAGAATCAGGGAGCTCTGCTTTGTGCTTTTTTGCTTTGCCTTAGTATCCCCATGTGCAGATGATTTCTTGTCAGATTAAAAATGCAAAAACCCAGCGCAGCAAAACGAACAACCCGGTCGGGTGCTTAGAGAATCAGGTCTGGTGCTCAGTGCTGCTCACTCCTGCTTCAGGTTCTTTCCAGGAGAAACGCTAGTGTGGCTGCACCTCCTGCAGCAGTGCTGGAGGAAGGGCTCGGTAATCCCTGTTTGTCCTTTGCTTAGTCTGTTCCAGGCAGGGTGTTTCAGTAATCCCAGTCCTGCAGGGTAATTCCGGAGAGGCTGAGTCGTGGTTCTACGATGGCTCCTCAGGCGTGGCGGAGCCAGGCTCTGCCTTCTCTTTCTCACTCCCAAGCCAGCGCTTTTCTCAAAGCTGAGCTCATAAAGGACCGAAGGAGCCACGGCCCATGCGAGTGAGGCTTCTAGATCCACCTCTAAGCCGTGCCCCAGGCCCAACGCCCGGCTCCAGCACTAAGAGACAGGCAAAATCTCTCCGATCCTTTACCTGCACTCAGGAAACCGGGGGAAGAACCATGCCCATGAAGGCCCTGTACTGTCTCATACATACCCATCCTGTGTCTTCAACCGCCCCCATTCCTTCTGACCCTAAAAGGTCAAGGGGTGACTCCCTCCTCCCCGTTCTTCCCTTTCATTCTAGAGGATGCCATTAGACCTCCCTGGCTAGGTCCCTCCTTTAATAACACCCATCCTTCTCCCTTCTCTTTCTTCCTAATTTTTTACTGTAGAAGTGCAGAGAGGAGGTCTTACAGTGACTGAAGTCATCTTTGATAGGACAGATGAAGG